AAACCAAAGTCACCAAGCAATAGGTGCTATGTCAGACAATGAAGACACAAAGGTAAAATAAAACCTGGCCCTCGGGGTGCCTGGGTGGCTCAGTCGGTGAAGCATCCGACTTCGGCTCACGTCATGATCTCACAGTTTGTGGGTTTGAGTCCCGCGTCGGGCTCTGTGCTGACAGCTTCCGATTCTGTGTCTCCCTCTCTACCCCTCCCCCACCTGCACTCTGTCTCAATCTCTCTCTCAAAAATAAACATTAAGAAAAAATTTAAAAATAAATAAAATAAAACATGGCCCTAGACTTTGACAGTTCAAAGTCTGATGAAGGAGACAGACATGCAAACAAGTAACTGGCACCACAGGGACTGGTAGTATGGAAGCCTCAGGCTCAGCGCGGGTAAGCTGGAAGAAGCCTGACAGAGGTGCCAGCACTTGATCTGAGTCTTGAGGAAAGAAGAAAAAAATGCTAATCATCCCACTGCGATCAGAGCAAAACCCACGCTCCTTACCAGGTCCCTGAAGATGCTCCATAATCCATCCTCTGCCTGGCTTTCTGTTATCACTTCCCATGTTTACTACACTCCACTTACACTGACCTTCCTGAGCCCAGAGCACACCACCGTCACTGTTTCCCGGAAGCCTGTGCATGAGTCTTCTGTGGCCTCAAATGCTGTTCCTCAGAGATCTTCAAAGTTCGTCAAAGAACCCTATCCCAACTTTCTAAGCAAAATTGCCTTTTCCCTAAGTCACTCTCTAGTGCATTACCCTATTCAATTTCTCAAAGCATGTGTTACTGTCTGAATTTACCTTGTATGGATGCGTATCTACCCATTTACAGACACCATCTGTCACAAAAAAGGAAGCTCCTTGTCAGCAGAAATTGCATCTATCTTGTGCACTTACTTAATGCCTGGCAGAGAGTAAGCACTCAAATAGTTTTTGAAGGAATGAATAACAGAACAGCAGAATGCCCAATCTCAAAGGTTAGATGAATGCCCCAATCTACCAAACCCAAGGGCCTAGGTCTGCTTTTGTTGTTGTTGTTGTTGTTTTTCAGGTGTAGCTCACCCACCCACAAAGTACGGAGTTGAAAATAGTGATTGTCTTGAGCAGTATCTCAAGTATCACCTAACATAATATCCCTAGTTCACTGCTATCACCACGTTCTGAATCAGAAGACATACACATTTATGACTGACTAGGTGTTTCCTAGCACCCAGAGATAGGCACCAGATGTCTGAAGATAAAAAGAAAAAAAAAAAAAAAGATACAGAGGAAGCAACTTACTCAGGAAGCCCCAGGAGGCCCTGGGCCCTCAGACAGAACATCAGTCATGACAAGATTCCAACAGAATGACACCATCAGACCAGCGCTGCCAAGAAGCCAGTCCATGATACAGCTAGAACCGTTAGCCCTAGAAACTCCAAGAGACGCTGGAGAACACTAATATGAGACACTAAATGCCTCTCATTTCCTCAGTTTATAACTTCTAACTTCATTTCACCCCTTTTCTGTTGGCAAGTGTACAGTAGTGACCATACAACCATGATCATCATCTACAGTCTCGGGGTAAGAGCTTGACATAACAAGAGGGCCAAGCCAATGAGAGATGACAAACATCTTTATCCAAAGGAGTCCATGAACTAAAATGCAGATGTCGCATACTGTAGAGAAGTTACAAAATCCTTTGTAGGTAAGGCTCAAAAGTAGAATTTACATCTAAGCCTGCAATTACACAAACCCTAAACTGGAATGGAAGCCAAGGGTTTCACTATGCAAGCATTATATAGAAACGTGATTTCTGCCATTAGTGCGCATTGCCAGGGAACAATACACCCTGGGACGGGAAATTAGAGAGGACAGTTGATGCCAACAACACGTGACATCTCAGCTCTTCTTGTACTGATATCTTCTCATCTAAACTTTCATTAGTTCACCATTTCACCAGATGCTACCACCGTGCCTACACAAGCTAAAATAAATCCCCGTAATAAATCCCTTAAAGAATCTGCAATCTAACAGGGTAGAAAAAAAAAAAATAAACGCACGGAAGCTAGAAAATAAGGCAATTTCCACTATAGCTTAGAGGCTAGACAGGCAGCCTCTAGACACAGGTGCCAGGACTCTTTCCTAAAGAAGGTAACAGTGACCTTGAGGGATGGATGGCTCCTTTCTGCAGACACAGACCACCGGAGATAGAAGAGCCTAAGTAAGAGGGAGAAGAATGTGGACTCAGGAAACAACAACATTACAGTCTGGGGACAGGACGTTGCTGTGTGAGGGCTGGGAAGGATCGCCATCTCTTCAATTAGACTTAGGTCAAGGACAGAGCACTTTTCTTCTCCCCTTCTCCCATATTACCTAAGCCCCAATTCTTTACATGTGGGAGGCTCTAAATTATACTTACTAAATAAATAAGAAAATTAAACCAGAGAGAAAAACATGGAATTAATTCACTTCGAAGTTGCTGCTGCTGGATGGTCTTGGATTTCCTAATAACTTGAGTCACAGTAGAACTGTGCACACCCTTGGTTACAGGGAGACACTTGTATCCATCACCTCACTAACAGTACAGGAGCATGTAAAGAAAGTGCCCGTGGCCAAGAGCAGGTAGGGGTGGCACAAACGCGTGTGTCAATCTGCACATTTGGAAGGCTGCTGGAGACAGTTGTTGGGTCCAATACTTTGGATGTTAGAAAAAGAAGAAGGCTGATCTACAAATCAGTTATTCTAGTGCTATAATCCCCAACGCAGAGCTAATACTCTTGTAGTATCATTCCAGAACACTCTCGGTACCTAGAAATCTATTTTCATTTTTTAGAAATACATCCAGTGAGTATTTAAAATATTATTTTTAATTGATCACGAGGGAGTTCTAGCATGGTATTGTAAAAGAAAAAACACACTGCATCAGGAGTCAAGAGGCTGAATTCTGTTTCGCCACTAGCTTGCTGTAAAACTGCAGCCCAGAAGAAGCTAACCTTCTTGAGCCTCCCAACGGGAAGGGAGGTGATGAGTGTAGGAGAGCCATGTCTATGGAAGTGGCCCGACCCCGATCTGCCCAGATGCTCTCCTGGTATCCCCATGTTCTACACGTCCCCAGAGCTCTACTCGCTGCACTTACATCTGCAGCTAACATGTAGACCCCCACCACCACTTTTACCAGGCTTTTGGAGATACCTAGGGTACCTCTAGTTTCTAAAAGGTCCTCTGGTGCTTTTTTATGATGTCATCTTCAGGTTTGAGGCCAAAGCCTTGAGGAAAGCATCTTCTGAAGTGAATCTAGCAACACACAGTTTCCAAAAGCCACTTTGAAAGCATTGGTCATGAGTACAATGTAATTAGCAAACAGTTAAGGATTAGGATATAGAAATCAAACATTTAAAGAGCTCAGGAATTGCCCAATCATAGAATATATATTTTTCTTATATATATTTTAATAGGCATCATAAGCCCCTTACAAATCACATATAAATACTCTTAAATATCTATACGAATGGGCATGCACACACACACGCAGTCTAAATATTACTATAAAGACAAAGGACAGCTATTTGTGAAGCTTAATCAAAGATCTAAAGCCCACTACTTTAAATGCAGTAGCAACTATAGCTACAAAGCTTCAAATTCACAAGTTAGTGTGAATTTCACCCTTGCATTTTTATCAAGGACATGTGTCTAGTGAATACAGTAAGATTTTAATTCTTATATATCAACATTTAGTGATTTCTTTAGGCTAATACATAGCTATTCTTCACAGAGCTCTAATGCCCTTCCCTGATGCAGGTATCTGTTCCTCTGTAGTGTTTAGATATTTTATTTTTATAATTCTGTATTAAATATTAAATATATATTCATGCATACCCCTATATTCAGACTTATATACATATGCCCAAAGAAACCTACTTTAAGTAGATATCCAAGAAGACATATACCTAATATGAGCAGGAGAGAAAGAGAGGAAGATCATTCCATTTATAAACAACTATGTTTACAAACCATTAAGGACATTCAACACATAACCACTATCAACCAAAACCTAACTGTTAGAATAGTTTATTGTCCATTTTATTTTGAGTTATTTTCCCTCCATTCTAGTCCACCTCTGCCAACAGCAGAAACTAGATGACATGACTAAACGACATCAGCTCTCAGTATTTCTGATGGGCAACTTAAAGATCTACGATGACTGACGTACTCCTCTGTCACCAGGACCCTTAAAGATCTACGATGACTGACGTACTCCTCTGTCACCAGGACCCAAACACAATCACACTAAAAGCAAGATCTGTTTTTGCACGACCGGGCCAGAAAAAAAGAGAGGAGAGAGAGAGAGAGAGGAGAGCTGGGAGACTTACTGCACCAAATGTGAATGATTAGTCTGTAATGCAATGCTGATGTTAATTTTTAAGAAGAAAGGTAAAGCAAACAGCTTACTAGAATGTAGTATAAAGAGAAATGTTGCATGAGAAATTGGAGCTAAATGTGAATCAGAAGTGAATTCTGTCTGCCCGATGAGCCGCTCATTGACCTTGCCTTATACCCACCAATCAAGGCTTCCTGTTAGCCCTGGGCAATTTTCAAGCAAACTGAATGAAACAGTTATACATGTAAGAAATTCAAGCCCAAATTTGAGACGGTAAGACTAATTTTCTAATAGTGAGGGTGTGATGTTATCCCTCGCACCGCCCGGGCACAATACAGAAACTCGTAACAAACCTTCTCCCAGAAAGCATGGTCGTTAACCATCCATCAGTGTTGCACACTGACGTTGCCAAGGAGTGCAACATTTGCAGACTTCCCCCAGATTTGATCCCAAAGTTACTGAATATTGGAATTTGTTTCCTTTTTCAATCAAAAAGAAGGTCAGTATCTTCACGTTTTGATTCTTTAATAATAAGCCATTTCACAGTCCAGGAGTATTGAAGTGAGTGCATCTCACGTGGTAGCCCCTCACCCCCAGCCTGGCGGACTGTGTGCAAGTGAAACCTAGGAGTCTGTCTTACCTGTAATCTGACTCTGTCCTTGTGGATTAAAAGGACTTGGTGCAGAGTTCAGGGAGGGCCGTGGGTTCTGAGGCGGGACACCTACTCTCATACTGGGATGAGGAATGCGCCCTAAATCACTGAGGCGGTCAGAGAACAAACTAGGTTTAGAGTCATCAAGCTTCTGTCTGTGCCCTGGAAACAGCAAATCATAAAATAAAAGCATATTAATGAGCTGAACAATTGACCATACTAAATAGATATGTGAACATACATACTGGGGGTTTATGCCAAGGGATTATCAATACTGGTATTTATAATGAGGTGTCTCTCTAATGCCTTCCATTTCAAGTGGTTTTCCAATCATCATCTGGTGGTGAGCATTCCTAGTTCTGTTCTACAAATGGAGAGCTGAGGGTCCCAGAGGGTGGTGACTCGGAGCTGAGACCAGGACAGGCACTCAGGAGGGACTGTCTGCGAGCCTCATCCAACCCTCTGGGTGAGTGTGGGAAAGATGGATGTGTTCTGGGGTATGTCTGCTTGTTTTGTGAAGGAGGAAACTTCCCTCAAGTTCAGAGAGTCTGTGCACATCACACATACTATCCCCAAACTGGGGCAGAAACAGAGACAAACATTTGTCAAGGGGCAATTCCCATGATAACCACAGTGACTTTCCTTTTTCATGTTACAGCTCGACCTTACTGAGACTTTCTTCTGAAAAATTAAAATTCAAGCCTAGAACCCCTTTCAGAGGAAAAAGTGGAAACACAGTCAAGGAAACGCAAATTCCCAAGAGGAATCTGGGTATTTTGTGATACCCCAAAACCTCAAAGCATATAATAAACTATGTTCAACCTGAGAGAATACTTTTTCTATTTTAAATTTACTACTACGGTTCTGTATAAGAAAGGGAAAAATACCCTCCGGGGTTACCACGTGAATGTGAGATTCCACTATTGAAACGAAACAAAACAAAACAAAACTTTGTCTCTCATCTAGTTCATTCAAGTCTAAAATCTAAGGAAACTCTAGATATTAAGGAAATATGCCCAATAAAATATAACTAAGGTTCTAAGGCTTCTTGACAATCATGAAATCATTCGTTGCAAAGAGTAGAGTATTGTCCTGGTGCAAATGTAATAGAACAGCATCTGGGTCTTGGTGCGATGTAAGTTAAGTGCATGCCTGCGGAGTGGTGCAGAGGTGAATAAGCAGGGTAATGCCTCATCCGTGAACAGAAATATACTGTAGGTTTCCTATTTCCATTTCCAAGGGCACCTGGGTGGCTCAATTGGTTAATCATCCGACTTTGACTTCAGGTCAGGATCTCACAGTTCGTGAGTTCGAGCCCTGCGTTGGGTTCTGTGCTGATGGCTCACAGCCTGCAGCCTGCTTTGGATTCTGTGTCTCCCTCTTTCTTTGCCCCTCACCCGCTCATGCTCACTCACTCTCTCTCGCTCTCTCTCTCTCTCTCCCCCTCTCTCAAAAAGAAATGTTAAAAAATGTTTGTTTGTTTGTTTGTTTGTTTGTTTAAGATGATGGACTGGAATCAGAATTTGCCCTTTGAAGAAAAATTAAGGGGATCAGGATTATTATCCATGAAAGAAGAAAACCTGGGAGGAGGATTATTAAGAGATTTCAAGAATGAGGAGGTATATTCTATGGGTAGCAAGAATACCTCATCTCCTCCTGGTACAGGACAAGAGGAATATATCAGGATAGGGTTAAGTTGAACATTAGAATTTCCCAACTATAAGCTGTCTTCATAAGACAAATTCCTTATTTTATTTGCCCCAAAATGTATTTTCCTGTCTCCTTTTTCATTGCCTACCCAGCCCAAAGAAAACAGACAGGAAGCCAAGGCTTGGTAATATGAGTGTAGCTGTCTCCACAGCCAAACATATTCCAAATAGGCCCATTAACTGAAATGGACCCACCACCCTCTTTCCTGCCAGTTGGGGCATCTGCTATGATGAGGGACTAAGATCAGGAAAATTCACTGTGTGTGGATGGGTGTTTTCCCAATTGTTTGTGACTTCTTATCCAGATTACAAATAGATCATAGAACTCTACAGGCCCTTTAGAAATTGGCCCAAACAGCTCCAGGAGGCCAGCAAGCAAGGCATTCACAGAGAAAGCAACAAAGGTCTGCGGAGGTACCACAACCAGCCTGTGGTCTTCAGCTATTGGCTAGCTCGGCCTGGACTAGGATCACAGTCCTGATCCTAGCTGACGACGACGCTTTCCACTCATCATGTGGCACCATCAGTGCTGGCATTCTAGATTATCTTCCCTTCCTCAGCTGCTGTGGAGGACTGAAAATATCCAGATCCACAGAAAGAGACACCTAAGAGCTCAGCCCCATGCGGTACCGAGGCTCGTTTTCAACGCAAGCAGAAGCAGCAGCCAGGATCCAATTACAAAGTTAATAGCTCACCCATTACCCTAAACAAACTTCCATCGATACATCTTGCTGCATCTAACTAGTGTGACAATTAGGGAATTATACAGGACTTGTCACAGTTAGATCTATGGATTCTGTTCCTCACATCCATTCAAAAAAAAATTATATATATTGGTGGGGTGTTGATACAGCTATAAACATTAACAAGAAAGCTTATGGAACTGTCCCTGGAAGTTATTTTTTTTAATAGGCCGTATTTTTGGAATGGCAGATTCCCTGAGGGCTAAGCTGAGGGCTGCACGATCTTGCCTGGTCCCTTTACTTACTGGGACTTTATGTGGGCTATGGGTCACAAGAAAACATAAAAAAGCCTTGCCTCTGCTTTCTACAGCCTTTTCATTAGGCTTTCATGGAGACTGTAGGAGATGAGCTACATCTCAGCATTCGGACATGTGAGTTGAGTCCACTTTTTATTTTCTCTTAGCCCAGTGCTTCAGGGGGGTCGTCATAGGGGGTTGTAGGCAAGAATAAAGAAAGGCCTGGCAGCAGCACTGATAAGTATGGAAACTGCAAGAGCAGGTGACATTTTAAAAGCCTCAGTGACCTTCTGGAAATTCTCTTCAAATGTGAGCCACCAAGTATACGGACACCCGGAGTAATTCAGGGAACATCTATCTGTGGCAGCACACAGACCAAAACACATACGCATTTCTCCTGGCAGATGTCTACCCCTTCGTAGCCACCACTACAACCACAACAAAATTCTTACACTACAATGAAGAACAAAAGCTGAACAGCTTCTTCATCTTTCAACCATGACAAATACCGGCTACCGCTAAACCACATCAGGGTTAACATGCGAACGATGGGCTGAAAGAGAACATGCTGAAATCCTCCACACTCAAGTAGTCCCTTAAGAGATTGAGAAGACGGAAGACAAGGGCACCTTGGATTACACCAAAGACAGGGTACTCTTCTGTGGTAGGAGGAGAGCTAAGCCTCATCCAAAGGGTCAAAGAGTAGGTCTTCCAAACAGGAGAAGAGTATAACAAATGGAAAACTGTTGTGTTCTGTTTAAGACTGTGTGAAAGTTCGGTCATGGACCCTCTTCTCTAGCTATACTTTCTCCGTTGAGCAGTGGTCCTTCCACTCCGGTGGGATAAGAGAATCCTCCAGGGAGCTTGGAAAAACATAGATGTCCAGACCCCACATCAGCTCAATTAAATTGTAATCTCTGAGAGTGGGTCCTGGGGAGTTATTTTGTAAAATAACTCACGACCTGACGTGCAGGTGAGGCAGAGAACCACTGCCCAACGTGACCTCACAATCTCGTGCACTCGATGCCACCTATTCCCATCAATGATTCCCCCATTTCTGAGATAAGCCCTGACCTCTGTCCTGAGATCCTGGTCTGCATGTCCCACTGCATAGCTGACTCTCTCCTGGGATGTAAAAGATATTTAAATACAGTATACTTAAGACAGAACTCTTGACTCTTCTCACCAAAGAACCCTATTCCTCTCTGAGTACCCCCATCTCAGTAAGTGGCACCAGCCACTCAGTCGTTGAAGCCAAAAACCTAAACATTTCCCTTGATTTCCTCTTACCCCTCACTCGCCACATTCAATCTATTACCACATCTTGTCATTTCTATCTTCTCAAATCCATTCAGTTCTAGTCCAGGACCCCACCCCCTCTCTCTGGGGATCTGTCACTGAATCCTTTGAGTTTCCCATCCCAGGACCTCTCCATATTCCTGAATCACTCCCCCTCTCTGTTTCTTTGCCCACTCCTTCTTATCCCTTAGGCCTCACAGTGAGCACCACCTCCTATGAGAGGTCTTGTCTGCCACTCTAACCAGAGTGGGTCTCCTTCTCGAGCACACCCTCCCTTTATTTCCTTTATGGCTATCAACACAATCTGTACTTAACTTGTGTATTTATTTGTCTCCCCTGCAAGATATAAGCCCCGTGAGAATGAGTACTCGGTCTTATTTAACATTGTATCACTGCAACAGTCCAGTGCCTGCCATATAGTAGGTACTCAACAAATATTTAGGCAATGAATGAATGAATCAGTGGATGTGCTCTTCTCTTTTAGACAAATGTCTTGGTTGAGAGAAAATTTTCTGACCCGGGATATCCTATTATAATGCTATCCTACTATAATGCTATCTTTCTCCCCAAAAATCCTTTTCTTATTTGACAACCTAGTGAATCCAGTGGGCAAAGCCTTTCTTTAGAGACCAGGCCTTAGTGGTGCTTGCTGAGAAATTTCCCTGAAGGTCATTTATTTAAGCGAATGCATAATTGCTTGCTTGCTTTCTGAAAAAGCCCCATTTGCTCTCAGTATAATTCTTGAGCATTGTTGCAAGTCATTTAGAATCAAAGAGCTGAAAAGGACAGCAGAAATTGTATTGACTCTAAATTTCTGAGTGATGTACTTCTTGTACAAATGAGGGCCTTGACTCCCTGAGAGGGGAAGTGACTTCCCCAAGGCCACACAGTTGGGGGCAGGACAAGAACTCAGGCTTTCTGCCTGCTGGCCCCATGCTCTTTTCCCTTCCACAGCCAACCAGCTTATTTTAGATTAGAACATCACAGCATCAGTCACACAAGGGAAATCATGGTCAAGAGAATTTAAAATGAAAAAAAAAAAAGCAGTTTTCAGAACAAATTTATTTCAAAACGTTGAGCGTGTTTGGCTGACTATGACTCTTCTTGCAATAAATTCAGGGGCATGAGAAGAAAGTGTGATCAGAAGGTCATGGCATTTACACATCCTCAGAGCA